CCCCCGCTGTTCAAGGTCTGGCGCACAGACCTTTTGTATCCCTGTCCTCGTCTCTGCTTTTCTCACGCTGAGGTGCAATGAACTCGAGGTCGAAATCATCATCCGTTATTGTGGTGGTAGGAGGCCCACTCCTGTGGACAGACGGCACACCAACTCGAAACAGTGCAGCAGCCTTCTCAGCTACGGATACGGCATGATCAAGCTTGAAGATCGAAAAACTCATGACTGAATCGCGACTACGAAGAGATGATACGATGTCTTGCTTTATAGAAACCAATTTTTCAATCTGCTCCGCTGCTTTGGTGGTCTTTGTTGTCTGCTCCATTTCGCATTCCATAATTATTTCCGCAAAAACCAATTGCTGCAGTGTCACTCCAAGGTTGACGCCGTCCCTCCTCATCTGAAAAACCTTGGTGAGTGTCGTCTTGAAGGCAGTGGCGCCCCAAGGATCATCGCCGCTCCGTCTCCACGTTTTATTTTCCTTCATCTTTGCTCGCATCTTGTTGCGAGTGGGGAGCTGGTGATCTGTTTGCTGCCACCGCAAAAGCGGGATCCTTTTTTCAGCCCAAAACCAATGTTTCAGTTGCCATGTTATTTCCCCACGCACGGTCGTCATCATTCTGTTGCACTCCCCTATGACTGCTCGAATCCCGCACGACGCTACATGTGAGCGCAGTCCTTCCTCCACAATCTCCCCCATCAGTTTGGTCGTGGTTTGCAGCGATGTGAAAAATGCATCCTCTGTAGGGTACAGAGTTGCGTCCTTTGCTATGGGGAACGCAAAGGCTTTCGCGACCGAGCGGAACAGCCTGCCCCTCATTCTCTTTGTGAATGCGTCGGACTCTTCATTCACTTGATGTTGTCCTCCACTATTCGCGCACACTTTTGCTTGCGAGTTCGTGTCATCTACTGGGAGACAGACATCACAACGCACATAACAATATTTTAGAACTCGGCAGTCCAGATACATTTTAGCACTAGGGACATTCGGCAGTCCATTTCAACCGCATGTTCATCAAAGTCAAATCCTTGCTTCAGCGATGTGCCTGAACTTTGCGAGTCCGAATGTAAGCGTTTGGCAAGGGCGGCAACTTCAGCGCACTTTGTTAACCTTTTCCAGCAGTATTAGTGTGCCTCACTATTTGTCTGTCAATGGAACGCGTGTCGGCAGCGCTGCCCTCGTGCGTTGTGTTCCTCTCGGGGACCCTCGTGCGTTGTGTTCCTCCCGGGGATGGGGAACTCGCTCTTCTAGATACGCTTCTGTCGTCTTGCGCTGACCCATCGTCACTCTCTTCATGCGCGGTGCCGTCGTCACTCCCGCCGTCGTCGTCGTCAGCCTCGTCAGTGTCGCGAGGATGTCCGTGGGAGGTCTCACTGTCGTCGACCTCGTCCCTTGACACGTTGTCATCCTCCCTGTCGGACTTTTCCAATGAGGGGTGGTCGTGTTCCTCCTCTGCTTCCTCTCGGGCTCCGCTATGCACATTGTCCGACCCTCTCAGATCGATTATGTCCACTGTTGTGTCCTTTTTGTAGGAGATTCTTTTCTTTGTTCTGCGGTGCACCTTTGTGATTTGATCTTCTCGCGACCTCTTCTCGGGGGCCCTGGGCGGACGGTTCTCGGCACCGCTGGCAAGGCTCCGTGGGGCGGGAGTCGAAGGGGGGGACTCATTGCGTTCTTTCAGCTTTGAAAGAACGCGCTAACTTTATGGGACTGAAACTTTTGATCCGTGCTTTCGCCTGCTGGTGCGTTCCGTTTTCGCATTCTCAGATCCGTTTCTGCGATGCTCTCTCGATTTTTTTTTCTTTTCGGCCTTGGATTTCTTCCTCTCCTTGTCCTTCTTTCCCACGACCTTCAAAGACCTGCACAGATCCTCGTATTTTGGTCTTGGAGCCATTGCCCTGTTTTCCCCACATACATGAAAGTGGAAAAAGAACAACAAATGCGTCAGCAATGTTGTGTGTCGATCTATGCCTCTCTAAAGTGTCGAGGGGCCGCATTGAGAGAGAGAGAGAGAGAAAGAGAGAGAGAAAGAGAGAGAGAGAGAGAGAGAGAGAGAGAGAGAGAGAGGCGCGCAATCAAGATCTTATTTCTAAAATTGCGACGTCATGCAATTTACCAACCTCTTTCAGCATCAAAATGATTGTATCTGTTTTGTCAGGCGGTTTGGGTTCGCGTACTCAAGGAAAAAATATATATATATATACTTCAAGCAAAAAAACTAATTGGGAAATGCCCCCGTCCATCATCGGGAGAAGGTTGGCTACTGCGGGCCAATCACCTAGTCAAGCCATTGGTCTTTATGTAACAAATGCCCGCAGTAGTGAGCTTTCCTCGCATTGTCGTCTCACGGCCTCGACGACAATTCAAGGCTTTCGATGTGTTGCTTTGTCTTCTCTCACCTGCCATCCTTGCTCGCTTTCTCTTACCTGCACCCTGTTATTCTGTATTCTGTGTTGCCCCGTCTCCCTTGTTGTGCGACGTTGTAAGTTTTTGTTCCTGTTCACACGTGTTGGTCAACAAGGAATGACAATGACGAATTGCTAAGTTTTTAAGCAAGAAATCGAATCGTTTTACAAGATAGTTTGGAGAGAGAGAGAGAGAGAGAGAGAGAGAGAGAGAGAGAGAGAGAGAGAGAGGTTGGCTACTGCGTGCCAAAAGTGAAAGGAATGTCATTGTTGACCACGTAAATGTCACGCAGTAGTGAACTTTTGGGAACACGGTTGTTTCGCATGTGGTTTTCACCGCTTCATAAACTCGGTCACGTTTGACATGATATTTCTTTAAAAATGACAGAAAGAAAGAGACAAATGTCCTTTCTTATTCCCCCGAATTTCTTATGAAATAACATGGTTGTCCCGTGATGATTCCAGCTAGACAGACTTACAGAATTCGTCAGACTTCTGATGAAGGCCGTTACGATCTCTCTCTCTCTCTCTCTCTCTCTCTCTCTCTCTCTCTCTCTCTCTCTCTCTCTCTCTCCTAGCAAAGATAAAAACTTTGCAATTGTTTTTTCCATAATATGTACTTGTTAAAAAAAAAACAGTCCTCACGCTGTATTGCATGCTGCTTCGATCCCCATTGTGGTTTACAGAAGCGTGGAACAATGTGAACGATGTCTACAATAGTGTCGGTTGATACGACGCTACTGTGTTGATGTCCATTCAACTTCTCCCATTTCAATTTCTTGCATATTGTCACGTATTGCCGTTCACTGTCGACCTCCTTGTACCATTGCACAAATCCGCAGCTGTGTTCCATAATTTCGTTGTTCGTCGGTGCGGTCACGACAAAAAACATGGCTACTGATGCAAAACATGTGCATTTGTTTTCTGCTTTAATTGCGACGTCACTGTGCACAGGTCTCCCATGGAACTGTGGCGACGCTCTTGCATTTTGAACAAGTGTGCCCCTGTTTGTTCCGTCCTGTACGCAGGCGATGACCAGGTGTGTTCGTGTGTATATAAGCAGGTCATCAGAAGGAGGTTGACAATCATTCTCCACCATGTAGGTCGTAAGTGCTGCTCGAAAATCACGTCTGAAAGGAAGCTCGTCGAGTATCTTACACGCACGGTTGTCAATGCCTTCTCCCTCCCGTATGCGCTCGTCATCGATGTCGAACCACCGCAGTTGCAGGATTGTCGTATCGCGTAGTGCGAGGGTATTCATTCCCGTGGCCATGCAGTCTGTCACAGACGATCGGTTCTCGACTATTCTCTTCCTTTGTTTCCTCACGATCCCGGTCTCTTCTTGCAACGCCAACAACCGGCGTACATGGTTCACCATCTGGGTTGAAGCTTTCCGCTTGTTTGATGACAGGTACGACTTTTTGCAGAATTTCCTATGGTGATGCTCCCAAACGTCTGTTGCGAAGGTGTCAGGAACACCGGATCGCTCAATACACGTTCTCAGATGCATCACATCGTGCAACTTGGGAAGTTTCCATTCTGATGGTTGATATCTCCCAATTTCGCTTTGATGGTCGTAATGAAGTCCGTGATCAAAGCATCGCATTCATTGAGCGAAGCACGAGTGTGTGTTGTGCACCGAAACACTCGTACATACATTTTTATCAGTTTCAGAAAACAAAGAGTGATGCCCTTGCCTGTCGAGCGTGGGATAATATTACAAATAAGGAACACGCCCACTATCATCACAGACCGGTTTTGCTTCGCCTCGAACTGACCCTCCCTTGAAAAAAAATCGTTGTCCGTGGCCACCGGTAGCACAAGTTGGGGGTATGTTCGCGTGCATCTCTCACTAATGCTCTGCAACCTGGCATCTAGTTCCTTGAGGATCTCTGTTTGCGGTATGTTCGACAACTTGTCAAACGCTGTCGTCCTGAATGCGTCAATCACGTGCAGGAATATGCCATGCTCGATTGTGTGCATACGGTCTGGCTGCAATGCTAGGTGGTAGTCTAGCTGAGGGTCGTCACCATTGGGGCCTCTGTAGAACCCCCAAAGACTGTTCTTTTGAATGCCTATGCATGTTCAACTCTGACATTCGTCCTTTCGCTGCACGACGCACGTCGATGTCATCGGATGTGAACACAGTTGCTATGAGGTGTGCTTCGAGCGTCTGTAATCTCCTGCAGTCCGTGAAATCGGCTAGGACATCAAAGTCGGTTTTGGACACGGTGCATGTCGGGCATACGCCAAACTTCACAGTCGCAAGCGCACATCGTTCTGGGTAGTCCTGTATATAGTTGAGGAGGAAAGGATGGATAGTTATGTCCCCGATCGCGTTGTCGGTATCATTATTCCGTCATGAGATGCCTTCTTCGCAGACTGCAACACCACTGTAAGGGCCTTGTGCAAAATGACGGCCTTTCGCTTTTTGAATATGGTGGACTGTTGACCCCATCCTTTGTCACGTGGACGATGATGAAGCACAGGAAGATAGGCCAGCAGTGTGGCTTCGGATGCGTGGTCGGCTAGGGACATCATCAGAGGGTACGCCGTCTATTTTTGATGACCGTCCGTGTGTGTCTTGTCAGAATAGAGTGACAGAGGGATAACATAACGTGGATTTCTATTCCCGTCCACACCTTTGTCTGCTCGAATGATCGACTGGATGTGATAACTTAGCGCCCCGCTGCGCGGGCCAGATATACTGAGGTCCTCTGATGGCGGGGACACCTCTAGAGAAGACACCATCTCGCATTTCTGTAATGCGATATTAAAAATCGATAGAAATGTGGTTCGTCAATCGCGGTGCCACAAGATGGCGTGCGCATCTCGTGGTCAGTCGTCGCTACGCAGATGACTCCTTCCATCCCGTAGCCTCTGCTAGACTGCCTGCCCATATCAAACACTCTCGACTATTACGGTACACAATGTCTGTCGTGCTGAATCTCGGGTCTTTGAGAAGTGACAAGAGAGCATCTATGTCACTCTGCGACATACCGACGCCGCCCCTGGCAGAGAAAATCAGTGCCGCAAGCTTGTGCGAGTTGTCAAAAGACTCGGCAGGCGGCGGTTGCTGCTCTGCGAATGACCCGCCCTCCCCGTCAACGTTCTCGGGGGCTCCAATGTCCTCGCTCTCATCGCTCACGAGATTCACTGCACCTATGTTTGATGGCCCGCAGGCGTCAACAACACCCATCTCCTGCCCTTGTGCTCTTTCGTCCACCACAGCCGGGCATGCCCTCGCACGATGTGAATTCAAAGTTCGTAAGGACATGAAAGGTCTGCCACAGTCGCATACCCGTGGACCGCTGTCCATTTTCTGTGCATGCATTCCATTCCAAAGACAAACAGAACGGTGTGGACAGTGCTTTGATTAACATTTTTTACATTGGTTGAGGTCGTTCGAATTATAAGTTGCACAACATATTTTGTTATATTCTGTAAGTGTTGCCCTTCCTCTTTTGTGTGTGAAAGCGAGAACGATGGAGTCTTGAATGCCGCTTTGGGAACTGACTGTCTTTGTCACTGATCCCGATTGACAAAGATTAGCAGTCAGACGTGTGACACGATAATGTATATGCCACGACAGGTTCCATGGTCCTGTTGGAAAAGGCAACGACTTGCACAAGGTACATGATATGTGACATGACATTCATCACCACGTTTGTGCGGCTGGTTAAGTTTGCAACTATCAATCCATATCGTTTGTGAATGTGGTATGTGTCTTCTGCGTCTGCATCAAAAGTATTGCACACCGGCACCTCAGCCGACCTCCCCGCATCCATTGCCAAAATATTTCACAACCTACAAAATTTGAATTGACATCACAAAGAATGCAAAAAAAAAAATTAATAAAAAACACAACATCCACACATTGGTCATCATAGGGGGTGTGATGCGTCTCACGTGCTACAGAAGGCAACAAATTATGACATACATTGTAACAACCATCAAATGATTGAAATAAAGTTGCACCCAATGTCTGGACACTGTTGTGAACCGCATGTACTTGAAGAGGCAAACAACAGGCAGCATGACACAGAATCTGTAGATGGATGTACAGGTTGTACGATAGCTACAACTAGACATACGAGAGAGAGAGAGAGAGAGAGAGAGAGAGAGAGAGAGAGAGAGAGAGAGAGAGAGGTTCACTAGTGCGGGCCAGAACGACAACAAACAGCACCGGTGGATAATTATATGGCACACAGTAGTGAACCCGACCGTGGTTGAGGGATGTACAAGTTGAGGGTTGTTTGTACAACTACTTCATTGCTATATGCTATGCATGTCTGTCATCAGGTTGACTGCGAACTATGGCGTCTCCTGTTGAGAGATGTCGTGGTCGAGCACCAACTATGGCGTCTCCTGTTGACAAACCGGGGTTCAATGTCTCTCCGAAAGATGTCGCCATTGCGCCGTGTATGAGGCAACTGAGGTTGATTCCCCACGTCAATGACGTTGCTAGCACAGTCTCTCTGTTCACCAGAACAAACCATCCCTTGCCAACACGAGACTACTTTTTCCCCTTGTTGCAGCTTGCATTATAGTGGTGACTGCGGCATACCATAGAGCACCGTCAGGTGTTGCCCTCTTCATCACAACACGCAGCACATTGTGCGGATCGGGGAAAGCACTTGCCAACCTCAGAACTGCATGTGCCCAACCTTTTGACATTTGTCCACCAGCCCCCTTCAAATCATAGTAAACATCATCTTCCTCGTCTGCCTTGTCGCTGCTGACATCGTTGCCGCTCACCTCCATGTCAGAAGACGATGCCTCCTCATCCTCTTCTTCATCTTCTTCTATATCTTCATTGTCTGTGTATATTGCAAGACAACTTGCCAAATCGGCGTCTTCGAATCCAACATCACACTGATCTCTCTCCATAGTGTTAGCATTGAAGATATCTGCAAGCAGTACCTCCTCTGTATCTGCTATCTGCATGGAAGGCACATCAACTGCCATACTGCTTATTGATTCTCCTGCTGCTGATGTATTTCCGTTGTCTGGAATGATTGCTAAACTTGTTTCCCTGGCGATCAACTTTCACGCTTCTTCTTTTTCTCTTTGTCTCTCAACATCGCAACTTGC